CCGGGGATAAAGCCTGTTTGGTCTATGTGGAAACAGGTATTTGTTATACGGTTTATCCTTGTGGCTAGTAGTTTGGCTAGGATTTTGTAGACTACGTTTAGGAGAGAGATGGGTCTATAGTTTCTGATATCCTCTTTGTTTCCTTTCTTGTAGAGAAGGGTAACTACTCCGGTGCTCAGATCGGGGCCCAGGGATTCCTCTTCCCAAACTCTGTTGAGGAAGCGCAAGAATAGAGGTCCCAATGTGTGCTAGCTTTCCATCCAGAATTCTTTGGAGAGACCATCTTTGCCCGGTGCTTTGTTGGGTTTAAGGTCTTTGAGAGCTTTGTGAAGTTCGTCTAGTGTGATGGGCTCTTCTAAGATGTCTGTTGACTCTTGTGATAGTGTGTGATCTAGGTGGGAAAGGAATTTGGATCTGGCACGCAATGATTCGTAGGTTCTGCCCGGGGTGGATTTGCTGGTGTAGAGGTCTTTGTAGAAGGTGGCGGCTATATTGACTAGGTTTATGGTTTCTGATGTGGGAATACCCTGGTTATCGGTGAGGCTTTCTATCAAGGAATTTCTTGAGTTAGACTTCATCTTTTGGAAGAAGTACTTTGTCATCTTCTCATTTACTTCCCAATCTCTTACTTTGGCCCTTAGTAGTAGACCTCTGAGGCGGAATTTTGTCCATTCCGAAACTTCCTCCTTTGCCTTGATTAGAAGATCACTGAAACATGCCTGCCTAAGTTAGCCTGATTGAACTATGAAAAATTGAAAATCAATTTCATTACGAGTCGACTGTTTTAAACTGCATGGCTGAATTATGACTATTTTAAACAGGTACACTGGAAGGATGTACCACCCCACCGCCAGCACCGTTCTGCCAAGTCCAGCCTTCATGTCACTACGAAGTGCACAGACCATACCATCCATCCTTCGCCCGTAACGCACAGGAAAGAGCCATCCTTCACATTCTCGATGTCCTGGTAGAGCGGTTTTGAAGCTACGTCGAGAATCACAATGAGGCGGTCAAATGCATGATGGCACTCTGACTTACCCGCTTGCTCGACAATGCGCGGTGTACAATTGCATACCGCACTTTGCTCCCTGCTTGGAATACACTGCTTGTGTCATTGTAGTTGTTTAAAATTTTAGTATGATTTGATCCATTAATTCTATTATAGATAGATCCGGCCGGGCTCTAACAAAACACGGCCAAAGGTGTCCCCTCTAATCGTAAGATTAGAATGTGCATAGCATATACTCTATTATACTGTAGGGAAACAGATCTTAATCCCCACTTGGCTTGGGACACAGTGCTTGTCATTGTGATTAGCATCGAACTTCCGCTCCTGCTTCCCCAGGTTAAGAGAGTTCTTCCAAACATAACTGAAATATGTAGATGAACGGGTGGGAATAAAAATGCCGTCACTCGGATTCGAACCGAGATGCGTAAGCACTGCTTCCTAAGAGCAACGTGTATACCAATTCCACGACGGCGAGCATCCGCGGTACGTCCTTCATGGTCTCCGCTTGGCAGGTGGATGCTTTGCAAGGTGGGCAAAGTGTCAGGCCAGTCATCTTGTGAAGTTAAACCACCAGTACCCTTACCTGCTATTCTGCCGAACTTCGCCGGTCAACACGGTTACCTGGAATTGCAGAATGGTTCGACCTAGGCCACAGCAAAAAGGCGGCAGTGCCTGGTAGGTTCTTGCTCCGTGGCGGCGCGGCGGTCCAGAGGTGGGCAGAATGGAGCATCAGGAAAAGATATGTGGGGGCACAGGTGATTTAAGGACCCAGTGCGTGTCAACAACCTCCCCGTGGGATGATTATTCAGTAGTTCTTTGCCTTTTCGAGGTGTTCCGATTGTTCACTCAATTACACGCGCCGTCGCGTACTAATCAGGTGAACATTTTTTTGTCATTTTCCCTCCAATCAGGTGCACAATTTCTTCATCTTTACCTTTTTTTTTTTTTCCGCCTGTTTTTTTCCACTTTTGAGGTTTCATTTAGGGTTTCTGCCACTTTCTGGATTATCTGTAGTACACTCAGGTGGACAATCTTCCTTCCTTCTGTTTTTCTTATCAAAGCAAGTACATACTCTATGCTGATTTGGTTCTTTATCCTCCTTCCCCACTGTCTCGCCTTGTTTATTTTGGGTCCATTGAAGAAATCACTTTCTGATATATGCACGATCCCATGCGATTTGTGTGCCTGTGGATGTGACGAGGGCAGGATGCGAATGTACAAGCTTTGCGAGAGTGTGGAGCTGAGGTGATAACGCTGGTAGGAAAGGTGAGCTTATGGAATTGTGAGTGATGATATCCTGCATACAGGATTATTTTCTGCTCTTGTTTTTTTTTTTTGTTTTTTTGTTTTTTTTTTTTAACAACATTTTTTAATTAGTGTCCCATCATGACTTCCGTGAGTCCGATTTATATATACAGAATATATACAAAGTTACAAACCCGTGGTCAATCGACCCCCCTCTCCTCTCTTTTCTGTGCTTGCAACCAGACGACTGTGTTCCTCCTGGCCTCCAGAATCTTCCTCCACGATCTTGTTTGTGAACAGGCTCTCCTGTCCTCGTCTGTTACACCCCCATTGACACAGCCATGCTCATCTCCAGTTTGTCACCCCGTCAGTCAATGAGCTTCTGTTATTATGCATCACCGACAGTGCGCACTGCATCATCGCTCACCCAGGGATCAGCATCCTGTTTCTTTATCGGTCTCGTTTCTCTCCGTTTCTTCGCATGTTGTTACAGTTCTCGGGCTCCACATGACAGTGTCCTCTCTTGTGTTCTTTGTGGGCAGTCACGGAACCAATGACCGTGGGCGGTGCTGGTGGTGTCAAGCGCTTGCCTCCGTGCCAGACCACTCAGATCTCTTCTGTGCACATGAATAGCACACATGTGGCCACCAAGGGGCCTAGCTCAGTTGGTACACCCATTGTTACGGACTTCGCCAGGGCTCGATCCCTGGTCTATCTTTTGCTGTTTCGGCTGCATCCCGTTTTAGGCCTGGCACCCCTTTCCCAAACCCCTCCTTTTGGTACCGTAGGATTTTGGACAACTGGCGCCATGCTGCAATTCGGGCGCCACTTTCAAATACTGCATTTTTCAGTTCTGC